TGTTCCTGCTGCATAGCAGAGAGGACAGTTGCCTCAAGCAATTGCCTGTTCAAGTGACTGAGTCAACTATGGAAGAACTTGCCTTTGCAAGAACCTCAAGAACCCAATAGAAAACTAAGTACCCAAATGTAAGTTCCAAGGGGCCCCTTATGTAATTTTCTTGGGCTTCATCACAGGATTCAGGTTTTGGGAAGGGGACTATGATTAAATGCCACAGCTACTATGAAGGTTTGACTAATCCTTGGACGAACAGATAGTCTCCAAAGCTGTGGAGTTTATATTGGCCACAACCCATAAAGGCTCAAGATCAGGCTTAAACCACACAAGCTCCTTAATCATTTTATGTTGTTGTTGTTTCTAACTTTTCAAAAACCTTTCAAACTTGTAGGAAAACAATCCAGCTATATGGAAAAACTGCTCTCCAGGTACCTAAAGGCAGCTGAGTCCAACAAACTTTCTTCAGGCTCCTACTTTGATGATATAAACAGCTATTCTCACTCATTTAACCAGAAGTAAATTTACAGAGACAGCTAGTGCGAAAAACAGTAGCTTTCACAGCTGGAATCTACATCCTCTCACTGTACCCGGAATTTTATACATTCTTTTTGTTTCTAATCTTTTGTTTTGTTTTGTTCTTATTTGAAACTGAATTCTGAAAATGGTGGAAACACAAATATTAGTATTGAAGAGATAAATATTATTTTTAATGTTTTTTTCAATTTCATACCTTTTTGTTCTTTTTTTTAAAGAAAAATGGAATTAATTGGATAGAGCAGCCAGTTGTGACAGAAAATGATTACAACTAGTTCAGAAGATTATAAATTGCTTTGCTTAGCCCAATTATTAAAATATTTTTCTCATGGATTAATACGTAGTCTGGTCTGTATCCCATACATACAACACATTATGTATGAAGCCTAGTCAATTATTTTTATACATGTTATTTACCCTCTATGGTTTATAAAACCTGAAAATAAATCCTCTTCTGATTTTGTACTTTTTTAGAATGGTAAAAATATGTCTGCCTTCTTGTTTCTTATGAAGATTAACTTTGTGGCACTTCATCCCCCTTCTCCTCATCAATGATGTTAGCACACCTGTGTAGTAGCCAAAAGCTAGTTATTTCGCCAGCACAGATGAAGGGACAGTGGCTTACTGATTTTGGTGGGCTGCCTAAAACCAGAAGTTACTCTTTTTGTTTAGCTGAAGTTTTTGTTTAATGCTGGTATTTCTTGATTTTAGAATGCTTAGCTTTGCAACTATACCAATGTTCCTTTAACTTAGTGGGCTTTAATTTAAAAAAATGTGTTGTGTTGTTTTTTTGTATGGAAAAGAATGCTTGGTTTCAGCTAATAGAACATTCCTCCTTCACTGAGTTCTCTACTAAGCTATATTTTGAGGGAAAACATCTGTGTTTGGCTCACGAATTCAGAGACTTTTAACCCTATCCCTGCTAAACAGTGGCATGGAACCTCTCTATCCTGGTACAGATCTGCATAAGTCATTTTAGAAATCTGATTCTGAAAAAACTTGAAAATATTCTCAGTGTTTGGGATCATAAAAAGCTACCTTTTCAATCACTAGAAGCTTCTCAATTCATTGCTTCTTCCCTTCCTAAAATATTATTTTCATGGCAGTAAGAGAATGACTTTTCAATACATACTATTATTAATTCATGAGCAAAAACAATATATTTGGTACCATAACAAATCTAAACATTAAGATCCCATCTCTTTCTGGTAATACTCTAGTATCCCATTACCAGCAGCTTACTTCACTTTATTAGCAGTTACTAGAACAGTTACTGTATTATAGCTACTATAGTAGAAGCATATTAGACGAAAAAAAATCTTTCATAGTATTGGGAAAGTGAATACAGCACTCATGAAGGAGGTCTCTAAATTGCTTCACTATTGCAGAGACAGTCTTTTACCCTGATTTTGCAAACATGTAGCCCCATGCAAACCAAGCTTTTCTGATTCATTGGCTGGCAACCCCAGATTCTGGGAGTCATAATAGCTTACCTAGGATTTACATCAGGGGTGGGCAAAATGCGGCCTGCAGGCTGGATGCAGCCCATCAGGCCAGTCTATCCGGCCCATGGGACCCCTAAAAAATTTAGAAAATTAATCTTGATCTTCCCCTGGCTGCCTGTCATGCAGCTCTTGATGGCTTGCCAAAACTCAGTAAGCAGCCCTCTGCCCAAAATAATTGCCTGCCTCTGATTTACATGGTTGAAGTCTGTCTCTACTAGTTTCCTGTACTAAGGCCATGTCTACATGGGAAATTTGCCGTGCTCCAGAGTGCAGCCTTCAAGTATGCTAAGCTGTTCTGAGCAAGCTGCCTCCTAAACCTGCAGTAATGTAGCAGGGTCCAAGCAATGGAAGGGATGGTCTAATTAGGCAAGCTAAATGACACTTGCATTTATCAGTGTTAATCACCCACCCTGAACTGCTGTTTGGATGTGGCTACACCACATTTGGTTCAGGAAGCAGCCTGCCCAAAGCAACTCAGCAAGCCTGTGGGTGCCACTCTGAAGCACAGCAAATTTACTATGTAGACATGGCCTAGAGAACGTAGCACTCTGTCTAGTATATTTACTATTCATGCATTCACTAGAGCTCTTTCCAAAGATACCTACTGGGGGGTTTTTCTGCACTTTTTTACTACATTTTTCACAAACTATTGCTTGAACAGCCCATACCATTCTTAATCTGGCTGCTGAAATTAAAACATGTTTCTTACCATCATCAACTGCAACCCCCACCCCCACAACTTATTTCTGTGAACTAGTGATCATAAATCTTCTTTTTTTAAATGTACTTTCAGCACAACACATCAGCACTAGGGCTGTGTGAAGCTTTGGGTGCTGATTCGATTTGGAGGAGATTTGGCCTGATTCAGCGGCTTAATCTCTGAATCTGAATCAAATTGGGAGACCAATAAAAAGGTCCAAATTGATTCGAAGCTGTCCGAATTGATTCAGAAAAGATTTGTAGGGCTTCAGAGATTCAGGCAGTTCCTGCTTGCAGCCGCAGGCAGCGAGACCCAGGCTGTGTGCTGGTAAGTGGGGGGAGGGGTGGAGGGGGCCATAGGGGGACCCCCACCACACCCCATCCCCTGCCTGCTCCCCAGCTCCCCTGAGCAGGCCCTGATCCCTGCCCACTTTCCCAGCCACGTCAATGGCTGCCTCACCCAGCCCCAGTGTCCCGGCTCTTTAAAAAAAAAAGGAAAAGTGCCCTGCACTCACTGGTTCCTGCCAGACTGGGGAGGATCCCCACTGCCCCCCACTTCCCTGCACTGCGTGGGCGGCTCTGCCATGAGCCCCCATCCTCAGCCCATTCTCCCAGCCCCATCAATGGCTGACCCACCTGGCCCCAGCATCCCTGCTCTTTAAAAAAAAAAAAAAGCCCCGTACTCACCAGCTCCTGCAGCAGCCATCGGAGCTTTTGGGGACTTGTGGCAGAGTGCCCCCATGTCGTATGGGGCAGTGGGGGGGCAGCAGGGATTGCCCCCCGCCTGACAGCAACCAGTGAGAGCTGGGAGAGCGAGGAGGGGGTGAGGGTTCATGGCAGAGCCCCCCACACAGCATGGGGCAGTGGGGAGCAGTGGGGATTGCCCCCCCCCACCTGGCAGAAGCCGGTGAATGCAGGGCTTTATTTATTTCTTTTTTTAAAGAGCCAGGACGCTGGGGCTGGGCAGGGCAGCCATTGATGGGGCTGGGAGAGCGGGGGAGGGATGGGGACTGTTTGATTTGGAGATTTGGCCAATTTTGCAGTGGCTGAATCTCCAAATTGGATTTGGCTGAATCAATTTGGGACAATGATTTGAATCACTTAATCAAATCACTGTCCCCCGAATCAGCCGAATGTGAAGCGAATTATTAGCGGCTTCGCACAGGCCTAATCAGCACCACTGGGTAAGTGTATGCTTTCAATCACCAACAAGACACTTTCTCATTCTGATGCCAAATGAAAACCCCATGTACACCTCATTTGCAAATTTTCCAGGCTTGTGGCTGATGTTTCTCACCAGTATTATTACTGGAACTGCTTTTACAGCCATTTATGAAAAAGATCTGCACAAGTGTGTGTGCATGCTTGATGTCTGACTATACTTAAGTAGTCCAAAAAACTAATTTGAAAACTTATTTATTTGTAGTCCTGACAAGAAATTTAGAAGTGGTTAATATGCTGTGATAGGATTTTATAATAACCATACACATACAGAAACTAACCATCAGTTCCTGTTTGATTTAGGTCTATTGCATGGATATTTAATTCACATCTTTATTTTTAAATACATCATAAAGAAGGTTGTATTGTTTCAAAGACAGAAATAAGAATGCTAGACCAGTTAAGATGTAATTGGTAATGACTTTAAAAGGCTCCAGATTAAGGATGCCTAATACCTTACAGCAGTATGGCACAAGTTTAAAATTTGCCAGGAGAACCACACTTTGTCTACATATGTTTTATACCTAGTTCCTTCCTTCCAGCCTCATTATGGGACATTAAAAGAAAGGGGGCATTTTCCATTTATGAATAACGTTTCCTCACATTGCAACTATGTGTCTTTTTACTTCTTAGCCACTTATTTTCATTTGTTTTATTTCATCCTCTCTGTCTCCTTCCACCTCACATTTTCCTTTTTTCCATAAAATCTTCAGACATTTCATTTTAACTTATAAAATATAACACTGTTTTAAGATGGCATAGTTAAAGTCTCCAAAAGTAAAGAAAAGCAAAAATTGACGTTTCTAACAAGCATTTCCCCAGGCATACATTTCATAACATAAACAGTAATACATTAACCTATCAATTTACCAGAAACATGAATAGAAAGCACGATACATTTTATGTGTATTATTGTTGGGTTAATGTTGGTTTTGGAATACTAGGGCTGAATTATGACCAATTTATTTGGCCAACTAGTATCATTGAATGAATGGAAACAAAGGGTGCAGTTTATTTTATTATTGCTTCCAGTACCCATCTCACCTTCACATGTTCGGCCATCTGTAGAAACTGAAAAACCCTGCTCACAAGTGCAGTGGAAAGAACCGCCTGTATTTATGCATTCCCCATGAGGCACACACAGTTGAGATTCTTCACATTCATTGATATCTGAAAAACACAGAGCAAAGCTGTAAAACACTTTAAAACAAACTCTTGAATACTACTTGTGCAACTGATTCAAGTATGCATTAACAGTTACTGCCATTTAGTTCTGGTCTGCAACTTTTTCTGATAAGCTTGTCAAAAAATGTTTCATTTCTAACATCTGTGAGGTGCCCTGATGTAGAAGATGTGTGCTAGAAGTGTGGGACAGTTATCATACCTGACCCATTTCAGCTATGGGGGTAGGTGCTAAATTAGCAGAGAATGATTACTGAAAGTGGAAAGTGGCAGGATTTATGCTGGCCTCTGAGAAGGAAGAACTATCAAGAAGCCAGTAATCATACTGCTTGGCTCTAAGCACAAGTTAGAACAACCTAGGGGCAGCTTAAATTTCCATCAGCTACATAAATGGAACTAACTTCCGCCAGCTAAGGAAGTCCTAAGAAACCACATGATTGCTAAGCATAGGCATACAGCTGCAGTCAAGCTTTCTCCACCTTCCTCCATGCAATGGGGCCAAACAGCAAATACGGAAAGACAGGTGACGCCTGAATAAGGCAAAGCCAGAGAAAGCCTAAGGAATGAGATGAGCACTGCCCTAAAATGGATAGGCAACAGTGAAATTGCTTTTGCCCCATGACCCCTTCAATTTGTTTCCAGCTTAGGTTAGCTATGGGAAGGTGTCCTTGGTGCTCTGTACTAACTCCTGTATCTCCAGGTAGAACAGGAGGAAACACTCTTCCCAACAGGTCACTCCTACTGACAGGAAGGGGAGTACACCCATTAGCTGCTGACCAGAAAATGTGGGTTGGATCTGGACTATATTAATCACATTGAGACAGAAGCCTTCCTGACCACCTCAGCAGGTTTCTCCCTACATGGTGAGGTGGTAGTATCTTAAGGCACATGCCGTATCTTTAAGCCCTATCTAGATGTTTCTGTACCAGTTAAGCCCAACCCCTTTCTTTACTATTGATGGTAACAGTAGCATAGCACTAACAAAGCCATCATCCATTGATCTTGGAGCAATCAGTTTAGTTTATTTCCAATGAGATAATATGAGACAAACCCAAGGGAAGGCTGCCCACAGGAACTGAGGATAGACGTTTTTAGCAGAATATACTTTTACCAGAGGAGTGATCCATCTGGGGACAGCAAATAACATCTGGACATTTCTATCTATAGGTCTTTAGCAAATGGAACTTGGTTAAAAGTAACACATTTTAGAAATTTCTATCTTAACATTATGCATTTCCATTTCTCCAGCTCTGCAGTAAAAATAAGATGTTCAACACAATTTCTTTTTCATCTGAGATAGATTCTGCTTAAGTAAACCAGCAATTCTGTCACCATGCACTACACTCAACTTTTTTAGATTCAGTGCACCCCTTGTTAGGATCAAGGCACCCTTTGGACAATGCTAGCTCTTAGCTTTGACTCATTTCTTGACTATGGAAAAGAAATAGCACAATTATTTTGTTGCAAAGAACTCATGAAGACCACCCTCAGGGAATCTCTGGGACATGTCTTGATAAGCAGAGAAAGTCAGGGTTTCCCTGCTTACAGGGACTGCTCTAGAAGAAAAAAAAAAGCGTGGAAACCAAACTAATTATTTCCAAAGATATTAAAAGTAGAGAATGAAGGGAAGACAGGATTAACAACAATATGGGGAAAAAATTAAAGTTATCTGAATGATCTGACTGCACCCGATCAACTGTGTTTTTGCTGAGTAAAACCTAAACTTTCTTTTATTTTCTTTTGGGAAGACCACATTTTCATAAAAGTATTTTGGCTGAGGGACTAAAAAATTTCAACCTTAACTGTTGGTTGATATTCTTTTGCCTGTGAATATTTATTGTCTAAAGTCTGTAACCTGAAATGATTAATTTAGAAAATAAAATTAATTATATAGTCGTATTTTTCATTTGATTTATCTTTATGTTTTTCTGTTGTATTGTTTAAAACCTGCATTTTATTGCCAAACTACCGTCTTTAGAAAAAAGTATTTATTAAATGGCTAACTGGAATTTTTGGCACAATCTGTCAGTTAATCAAGATTCCTAGATTAAAGGTTCGGAATGGAGCACAATCTACAATTATCTTCATTATTAAAACATTGTGCTCTACTTCTAATCTAAATTTGGCTGGCTTCAAATTCTGGACACTGGATCTTATTATACCATGGTCTGAAAGTTTGAAAAACCTTCTGCTATGAAGTTATGGTTCCCTGTGTAAATATTAAACTATAATTAAGTCACCTTTTAACTTTCTTTTTGTTAAATTAAGATGACTGAGCTCCTTCACTATAAAGCATTTTCCCAAACCTTTGCTTACCCTTGTGTCTGTTTTTTGAATATTTTCCAACTCAACGCCCTTTAAATTGCTAGCACTGGACCTGGACAAAGACAGCTAATAATCATTGCATCAGTGCCAGATAAAAGGTTGATGTAATCTTCCCTAGTTTTACTTAGCATTCCCATGCTCATACATGCAAGGACCACATTAACCCTGTGGCCACAGGGATGCGCTGAAATCTCAGGCTACAAACAGATGTTGCCTTTGTGTCACCATAAACATTTTTCTGGCAATGCAAAACCCAAGCAAACAGTCATCCATGTCCCTTGTCAAGCCACAAATGCCCAACATTGTGCTTAGAGCCAAGCAGCATGATTACTATCTTCTGGATAGTTCTTTCATCTCTGTGAGACCAGCAGAAATCCTGCCACTTTCCACTTCAGTAAATATTCTCAACTATTTCCTGAACCATCATGACTAAAACACTGCAGCCCCATTTAAAGTGCAAGAGTTCTGGAGCTGCTAATTAACATCCTCCTGAAGTACAATAGATACAGAATGCATTTCATCCTCACATCATACAACCTCAGCACCACAACCATTATTTTCTTAAAATACAGAACAAAAGTATACATCGAACTCTTCTGCTTTTTTTTTTTTTTTGGACCACTGACCACTTCCATCTAGTAATAAATGAATGCTGTTCTTTGAGGGAAAGAGGGTGGTTCTCTTTCTCAATCATAGTTAAAATCTTTTTATTGTCCTTCTATCTGCTGCATAGATTCCTCTTTGTGTCCTGTTTTCTTCTCTTTCAGTTTTCTGCAGTTTGTAGCTTTGATTTATATTCATTACTGTTGGCTTCCCCTTTCTTCATTAGCTAACTGCATTCACTTCTCCAGGTTGGTATTTTGACGGGGTGGTGACTTTTTAGACATGTGTCTCCTAACTAACATTCACATCTTTCTGTTTAAATTCTTTCTCCAAAATAATTTGGTTCATCTTTGGGAAGTTTTTCATATTTGGGAAGTTAGTTCATTAAAAAAACAAGTATCTGTTCATGTGTGTATCACCTGTGTGGACTTTATTGTCTTTATATGTAACAAATGTAAACAAGACATTTACATGTACTTAAACTACTACTGATTTTTTGCTTGTGATCAATTATCTGCCAAGATGAGTTTTTACACAGAATTCTCTTGTGTTGGATTCAACACATTTTGAGTTAGGAAATTGTTATCCATAATACTTTGTGATTCAGTGTATCCATAATTTTTAGAGATTTAGTGCATCTGCATATGTCTTTTAGTGTATACCACTCAGATTGAAGCCCCAGTGATAATACATACAATTGCTTAAAGAGCCAGTCACTGTCACCCTGTTTCTTAATATGATTTGGTGGTGTGCAACAGATACCAACATGTACACCATCTTGTGCTTAATCTGTTAGGACATTTGATAACAAGCATGCCAAAGACTACAAAAATCTTTCAAGATTTGGGAAAATGTACTAGCTCCATATGACCACTCTCGTTCCAAGAATTCCTACCTTAAGACAATAAAGCTGGAATGATGCCTGTTGGAACAGTACAACATATGTAAAACCCTAAGGTACAATAGATGATTACAGAGATTAGCATAACAATGAGAGAAGAATAAGAGGGTGCTTGTAATCATACTAAGTTCAGTTTTTCATGATTTATACTTTCCCTGAGGTATTCCACACTTTGCTTATACATTTTTATAGCTAGACTATACCTTGACAACCCCTGCTGGCCATCTGCCGGAAGCCATCTGGACAAATGCACTCATAAGATCCATCAGTATTCATGCAGTTTCCTCCAAGGCAAATATCACTGTCTTGGAAGCATTCATTAACATCTGAAATCAAACCATTGCTAAATATTAGACACTTCCAAAACTGAATAAATTCTTAAAGGCAGCACATTTAATATGCATATATTGATTTGAAGTAAGTGCTTATCCTTACTACATTTAAAGAAATATAATCATTTCATTTTATTAACTATGGTACCATGATCCTTTACATTTCCTCCCATGATATTCGTATCTCAGAAATTTCTTTAATACTTCTATCCAGTCTTAAACCTTGAGTCTGTGTATTGTTCATTCTTAGCAAGAATGCAAAGTATTGAGAGACAATGAGACACTTTGTAAGAGACTTTTACATAAATTTCTCCTCTACTTCCATATTTATTGTAATGTTACCATATTACAGGTAAGTACCATATTTTCACACATACAAGTGCCCGAATAAAACACAAACCTTATTTTTGGAAGGCAGAATGTACACAAAAAAAGATTTTCCAGAGTCATGGCACACAGCAAGTCCTCCTGGGAACAGACTGCATCTAGGAAGCGTGGCATCAGGAACTTCCTGGTGTGGCAAACTATCTTCTGTGAGACCACACTTCCTGGATACTCTACTTCCCCAGGAGGACTTACTCTGTCACACAAGGTTAGGCCCTAAGTAAGCCCTTCCAAAGGGCAGTAGCAAGACTGTTACCTCTTTACTGTAAGCAGTCCTTTATATAAGTTCCTAGAAATAAAGTACAACCTAGAAATAAATACAACCTACACCCCTAGAAATACAGTGTTAGTTTGCATATCACAAGCCTAATCAAGAGGTTCACTTGGTGCTTTGGGCATAAGCTATAGCAGGGGCAGGCACGTGGGGGGGTCCCAATCGTCATAGTGCCCTGTGACCAGTGGGGTCCCCCAAGGCTCTGTC